TCCGGTGAAGCTGAAATGCAGAAGAATGCAAGGAACAAGAAAACGGAAGTCTCATGTAAAAGCATAGTGGTTTCAGTTTTCTTCTTCCTCGCATTCTTCTGCATTTTAGGTTTACTGGAATGCTTTATTCGGACACACTCATACATTCTGCGCTCTGTACGCAGTCCGCCGTCCACCTCTGCTGAGGCGCTGTCTGCACTGTCTTTCATCATTCATTGCGGTTAGGTCTTGTTACACACTCTTTCTAGTAATTGAATTATAATGGCAATTTGCGAACATTTTCCGGTAGTTAAACTTTAACATAAACTTGTCTTTGGTTCGGTTTTGTCAGATATGACCGAGACCGAGATGAAAGTTATCTCAACGGCTGATGTGTGCATCGCCCTGCCCGTGCCCTCGGTCGACTCCCCCAGCACACACGCCGAAGTGATTTCTTCGTCTGATTCTAAGTGGACGTGGACAATAAAAATGAATGCCTTGACTGTACCCTTTGACAGGACCCTCCGAGAGGCGAGAGTGTACTTGTCTGCTATTGATAAAAGTTTAATGTCATCAACTAGATTAGTTAAATGGGGAGGCTCAATTGAAGTGTCTATGATAGCCCGAAAAGATGATTGCTATGGTGTAGGAAAGCTGCCTGTTATTGACCGCCCCCTCCAGACATTTTATGAAGTTTGTAGAGCGAATTTTTATACATACTCATTGCCTCAGGAGTTTAAAATCACCATTAAACTTGAAGTATCTAATGTCATTCAATTGGCACTAAAATCAAAGCCATCTGGTGGGACTGCCTGTCTTTTGAAGAGTTTGGATTCATTCCTGCTCTCAGGGTTGATGTCTGATGTTAAGCTCTGCACTGAAGGTCAAGAGATTCCAGCACACCGCATCATCCTGGCTGCCCGCAGCGAATTCTTTAAGGCAAAATTCAAGCCTGAATGGGACGGAAACACTGTTGATGTCAATTTAGATCTTCCAATACTGGAGGAAATGCTCAGGTACTTTATGCCTGGTTGTAATGGCTCTCATACTTAAACAGTTGTGTCATTTTTTCACATTGAGAATTTTGTTTTGTCACACCTGATTTGCCTCTTCTATTTTCAAAATTTAATTTGCTCTATTTTGTTTTTATCTTTTTTTTCTAGGTATATGTACACAGGAAGTTTTGGAGATGATGTTGATTTGGTGAAGCTTCTCATAGCTGCAGATATGTACCTGGTCTCAGACTTACGTGAGGAGGTCACAGAGAGGCTTAAGCATAATTTGTCATCTAATATCAACAACGCTGCATCAGCCTGCTGCAACTTATTGAAAACAAGTGCTGCAAACAACAGTCCGTCTCTCTGGATAGTTGTACTTCATTACTTGAAATCACATCGTGATCAGGTATGACTTAAACTCTTGTCTCTCAGCTCTCAGCTTTGTTTTGGAAAGCTGTAGGACCTACAGTGTAGGTGTCCTGTCCACTTTGCTTTTATTTTTGTTTGAATTTAATTCTCGCAGGTGCTGAAGTCTAAAGAGTGGGGTGAATTCCAAAAGACCGACCGCCAGACAGCAGCAGAAGCCGTGCTTGACATGTACAACCTCCCTGACTAGTTATCTTTGAAAAGGACGAATTAACTTAAACTACCACATGTGTCAGAAAAGTTTATTTTTTTGTCATCTTTAGTTATCAGAATATTATCTTTGAAATGGATATATTACTAAAACTACCTCCTGTATAAGAGAAGTATTTTTTTTTTTTCTTTGTCAAGCAATAAATTTGTCAACTTGACAGATATTTATATATATTTTAAATGTAGTCTTATTTATTGCTATTTTGGTGGTTTGCTGAAAATGTCAATATGGATGCAAACAAACAAAAGGGGGGGGGGGAGGTGTGGCCGCCTCGCGCATGGCAAGTTAACTGAAGAGGCGAGTTCAGTAAATAGATAGAGAGCGACAGGAAGAGGAGGCGGGCGAATGACAGAGATAGCGCAAAGGCGAGAGCGATGGAGGCGGCTCTCGACGACACCGACAGAGTTAGTAGAAAATAGTGTGTGTATTTCGGAGGCAGAAGAAGAGCGGGTAGAACATGAACGTTTCCGAATGGTATTCCCGCCTGTTCGGTAGACGGGGTAGAGGCTCGACCAATCAAGAACCTTTATGTTCTACCCGCTCTTCTTCTGCCCTCGTTAGTCGAAATACACTAAAGACAGTTCGGCATTAGCCGACCTAGACGATGCAAATGTGCGGCGTGCGCGTCGCCCATCGCTCATCGTGTACCTGGTGTACCCCACCACCACCAACGTCTCCGAGTGTCCTGCCCTGCGCGGCCGCACGACCCCCAGGACGCGCAGTCGGTTGTCGTTTTGTTTTTTCGGTTGGTCAGTACAGTCAGCCGGTGCGGCAGCAGCTGCCCGCCGCAGACGTCCCTATATACCCAGGAGGGAATGCTCGTCATCGTTTCTCAACGGCCGCTCTCACGCACAGATTGGCAGTTGCGTCCCTAAACCGTGCATCCGTGCATTTCAACAGCCACAACAAGTACGTTCGTTAACATGAAAATGACAGAGACTGTTACCAACTTAACGTATGGTCAAGAAATTTGGCAAACCTGGAAATAAAACAGAACCAAGTGCTTTACTTATTTGGGTTTTTACATATTTCTCCTAAAACGTACAGTATAGCAGTTATAATAGTTTCAACTTTGCCGTTTCTAAAAATAAATTCAACACAATGCTCAACCCTCGTCAGTTGGCAGCACGACCGTTTTGGCTTCCCCCCTCTCTCTCTCCAGTTCAAAGTGATTTTACGGTTTACGTTCCGTTTGGGTCTGTGAACTTGTTGTGTAAAGTATTGTGTGAAAAGTGTAACGTCTACAGTGAGAACTAATCAACGTGCTTTTTGCATCTGAAGATTGTTGAAAGAATGCGCGGAACAGAACGGAAACATTGTACTTGTCCAAGCAAGGCAGCTTAGGTTATACTGCCTCAACCAACGGCTTCGACGTGCAGACCTTCGCGATAAAAAGGTGAGTGCTATGTGAGGGACAAATTTGATTGGTGACGGTATCATGTGATTCCATTTAGTCCCGCATTGGACAGAACAATTCAAAAGGCGAACGATATCTGGCTGCGCTCATTGCGCTGCCGTGCTTTGCGGTGTAGAACCAAGTGTCACAATAGATTGCGCTTCGTGTGGTGGTGGGGCGTCGTCGATGGGAGAGTTGCTGGTCGCGATGGTCACTTTATTTATTATCTCCCTCCTCTGCTGCCGCCGCTCGCTGCCGCGGAGCCAGGCGGGGCCCCAATGCATCAGCCGCGGGCAGGAAAAGTACCTCCTCCTCCTTCTGCCCGTTACCGCTGCCGCACCCGCCCGCACCCGCCACCACCGGGTGGATAGTCCAGGCTTCCTTCCCTTTGGAGCAAAAGAGACGGCGCGACACTCGGACGGCCCCTCGCCCGCCTCGCCCTACCCCGTCCCCCACAACTACCTCTTCTCGCACACATTGTCCGAAAGCCCGGCCCGGCCCGGCCCAGCACGTCTGCGCCCCGCCGGGGCTCCACCAAGGCGCGGGGCACGGCCGGCCGAGCAGCGGCTGGCGAACGGATTTATCAGCCAATCAGCTCGTTGCGAAACAAAAGCCCTCTGCGCGCGGTGCGGCGGCGCGGTGGGCGCGGCGGGGCGGGGCGCGGGCGAGCAGCCTGCCTCCGTTGTTGTGTATTGCCGTTGTGCTCGCGGCACCTAGATCCTCCCCGATGGGCTCGCGTGGCGGGGCGTGGTGCGCAGCTAGTGCCCGCTAACTGAATGAGGTTGACGAGCTGAGCTGATACCACCAACTTTTGTCTTTTGAAATAGAACGTTAACTATTTTCCACTCGATTAAATATCGCAGCTCCTGAACGGTGTTGTTCTTCATCATGAGCACGACCACGGCGAGGGTAGAGGGGATGGACTGGGGAGGGGGAGGGGGTTAGGTCCTCGCCACTCGCTGAGGAG